AAACACATAATAATTTATTCACTAGAAGGTACAATGGGTTAGTGATATTACATGACCGCGATTAGACTAGAAAGATCTTCCCACCGAAGCCGTCAAGTCAGGACAACGCTGAATTTCAAAATCGAGCTCGATGGTGATGGCAAATAATACCAGGTTGCTGTCGACCCGTAATACTGTCACTTGAGAGCCTTCCCTTATGAGTAGGAACTACTGCGTCTCTCATATTCCAGTTACGACGAATCTTGTTGACCAGACCACACACTAGAGTGAAGGGACGACGACGTTTCGGCCCGTCCTGGACCATTCTCAAGTCGATTCAAGTCGACCATATATAAGAGAGTTCTTATGGTTAACTATCAAAGGCCTTCCGAAGGTGAACAAATAGTCCTATTTGTTCACCAATCAGGTACTATCACGGCCTCATTTTTGTCAAGAGGTGAGTGTGTCAACACATACCAGCAGGAGACACTCCGAGACGTCAAGACCTCATACCGTTATCATCTCACATCACCATAGACCTTGACACACTGACTTCAATCACCACTAACTATTGGTGAGGTTAATGGCTGCTCCTGTGCAAGTAACAGGTTAATCCTTCGCAAGTCACGGGTGTAACATACATGAAAATAACTGGGCTAATGTACAACGGGAGAACAATTGCTTATATGTTCTGGGTAAACGCCCTTCACGCTTCTTGCAGGTCGGCGTTCGATCCCCCGACGGTTCAAGTGGTTTGGCACCGATCCTTCCCTCTGTCCTATCCTAGATCCTCGTCCGCATTGATTTGATTGTTGCCGCCGAAGGCGGCTAGTTTATTGTGCACCCCATACTCATCCTGTGAGCGGTAGCGCAAAAGCATTACAGAGGGCACAAAAGGTCTTTATCAGACCTCATCTTAGATTATTACATAAACAATTTCTTCAATCCTTCACACCTTATAGATACAATGTCAGCTAGTTACAGAGAAAGTGCTATTACAAGAGCTACATATTTACAGTAAGTCATCATACATTAATGGTAGGTCTTGTCGCTAATACATAATAGTTTGGCCAATGGGGATATTACAGAGTCATAGGGGAGCTTCTGTTTATTATTAGTCCTCACAATACACTACTTGTTTCTGAATCTCATATGTCGTTCATCTACTGGAAGCAAAATGTGGGTACAGTGCAAGGATTTCAGGTAATTTATCCATGGTAATAAGATAGGTTGCCATATCATACAGAGTGAGCTTAGATTTATCTCTAAAAGGCTCAATTTTACAACAATCCAAGATATAGTGTTCGAGTGTGTGTCCCTGCCTATGTCCACACACTTTACACTTTACTTCATCTAGATCCCTATACAAGCCGAACTGCCAGAGATACTTGTAGCCAAGTCTTATACGAGCTGTGACAACATCTGTTAGTCTACTGACTTTGTTACTTGCCCCATACACATGTTTTACTTCACACATTTCATTGTGATGAACAATGGACCTGCTAGTTCCAGTTTGCACTGTTCTACTTTCTTCAAATCCATCCAGGAGTTCTCGTCTAATGACACTTTTAAGGGACCTATTTGATAACTCAAGATTCCATTCAATACTGTCTTTATTTACTGCAGCCTTAGCAAGGGCGTCAACTTTGTCATGTTCCTGCATGCCAATGTGAGAAGGAATCCACAACATTTTTATATTTACCCTCTTGCTAAGTATTCTTATATATCTACGTCTAGCTTCCAAGACAAGCACGTTATTACTTGATTGCAAACTGTTTATTGCTCGTAGTGAGGATAGGGAGTCAGAAATAATTAAGCTGTCTACTTCAGTGTTGTCAATAATTTCGAGTGCTACCAGTATCGCTACCAACTCGGCTTGCATTGTGGACGCCCAGTTACTAATTCGGATATTTCTTTGAATTGTGCTGCCATCGGGCTGATGAGCAATAACAGCACTTCCTGCCCTCCCTGTAGCTGTATTGAGTGATCCGTCAGTGTATATGGTCTGTGCAATGTTGTTTTCAGCTTGTATATTGTGAATGTGTTCTATGGTGCTTAATTTAGCAGCAAGCTGAGCATGAGGGTTGCTTGTGATTAGTTTCTTGGTGGGGTATGCAGGGGTCAGGATGTCAAAAGGTACTATCTGCCAGGGTGGAAGGAAGTGCTGTACTCTTTCATCTGTATATACATCGTGCAGTCCCATCATTTTAATATGAGTGGCAGTTCTTTGAATCCATTTAGACTCGCTAGTTCCATTTCGTATGTGTTCTAACAGTGCAACTGACACAATGTTGTTTTTGTTATCACGCAGCAGCTTTAGTCCCATCATAAGATTAATTTCAAATATTCTATCTCGAATGCTAAGTATATTTAATTCTTTCCGCATGGCAGGACCAAAGCTGGTGCATGATAGTCTATCAGAGACCTTATATACGCTAAATACATCATTCTTGCTATTCTAATATTAACACCATATTTCGGGCTGTACCCCACTACAGTTCTGAGAGCCTTGAGTCTGTCTCTACATTGTTGATGTAACTTATTGACTGCAGTTGAGGTACAAGGGACAGAGACACCAAGGTATTTGAAAGAAGAGACATAGTCTATTGGTATGTTGTCTATCTTAAGTTTTCGTGGTCCACTTTTGCGGTTGCCAATTTGTCTGTTAAATACCTTAGTTTTAGCAGCGTTGATTACAAGACCAAGGCTCTCACAAGCTGTATGTATACAATTTAAGACTGTTTGCATTTCGCGGTGGGTTTTAGTATGCACAAGGATGTCATCTGCATAGCTGATAGTGATGGTGCCTAGTTGCATTACTTTAGTTTCACTCTTGTAGCCTTGGAACAGTGCAGAGGACTTCCGGTTGGTAAGATAGCCTCGTATCCATTGTAATAAATGTCCCCTTATATTCATTCTCGCTAATTCATACATAATCACTTCCCTATTAGCAATATCAAAGGCATTTTTTAAATCAAGAAATGTTGTGTACTTGTGCCGTTTATCTCCATGAACAGTAAGAAAGGTTGTGATACAGTTGTGTACACTTTTACCATGTGTGAAACCATTGATATCAGGTGACATGTGCTCTTTAACTCTATACAATAATCTATTACGTTTCGGTCCGTCCTGGACCATTCTCAAGTCGACTTGTGACAGTCTCACAATCGACTTGAGAATGGTCCAGGACGGACCGAAACGTCGTCGTCCCTTCACTTTCCAGTGTGCGGTCTGGTCATCAAAAATTACCATACAATTTTGGCTAATCGGAGTAATTCATTTAGGCCTTATTGGAGTGAGGATGCTGTTCATATTCACTGCCACGCAGGACAGTGAGGATTATACACAAGACAATAGCACTAATTTAATAATTATAATTAATTGTGTCTGGGAACAGGCAACCAGTTCATACATTCGGCATATGTTAGGCTTATATCCAGCCCCCCCCCCCCGGGTGTCGAATTACTGACCCTCCCCAGGATGCAACCCCACAACAAGCTAACTAACACCTGGGTACCTAATTTCCTGCTAGGTGAATAGATGCATTAGATGATAGGAAATGTGACCAACCATTTCTGTCCCGCTCGGGATTCGAACCCGGAATTCTCGATTGTGAGTCGAGAACGAACACTACCGGACCCTTGTAGACTTAAAACATATACACGCCGTTCACGAGGCTACAATCTGCATGCTGTTGTAGATTTGGCTACTCAGAACGAAATGTCCATGTAGCACGGGCTATGGTGAGCCCGTAATGAAATGTGCAACACAGCGAGGGGATATATACACTGAAGGGTGTAGAGCATCTCTCTGGGAGTTTACTGTAGACTATGTTCAGGACTGCAGTATACTTGCTGGTTGGTCAGTGAGCTACTGTATAGTGACCTTAATGACCCTTTAGAGGTTGATAGACCTTATTAAGAGCACCACCAATCTAATCAACTACATCAGTTATTATACATGTCTTAATTTACAAATTTGTAAATGCAACTTTCCATTGTTCACTACCATACAAGGCAAGGACGGATTCATAAGAGATGGAGCTAACAAATGCAAATATGGACAAGCAAATTTTGTATTAACTGTAAAGATATCTTCCAGTACACCAGAGGCAATGATATAGTTACATAATTGGTTGTACTTTCAACCAATTGGGCCAGGAGGTCCAATTTTTTTTATACAGTTTCACATTAAATTTTTTTTATATAAAGTTCTTACATTCTTGTACAGCCACTAGCACGAGTAGCGTTTCGGGCAAGTCCTTAATCCTAATATTACCCGGAATACGACCTGCCAAATCGTTTAACAACCAGGTAACCATTTTACTATTGGGTAAACAGAGGCTACAGTTAAGGCTTGGCACCCAGTAAATCCTCGGATACGAACCCAGGACAAAGCGCTCGCTAAACTCCCAGGCGCGTGTCTTACCACTACGCAACAGGAACTGCTGACATTGTGCTCAATAGTGTTCAATAACATAATGCTCAAGATAATATTTACAATCGACTTGAGAATGGTCCAGGACGGACCGAAACGTCGTCGTCCCTTCACCTTCTAGTGTGTGGTCAACATAATATTGTAACAGTTTGTCACAAAAGTTTATTGGCTAAATATTGTGGTAGTGACTCAGCCTCACTAGCTTGCCAGGTGTGCCTATAGCCAAGTTGAATTCGTGCAATGACATCATATTTCCTTGTTCCCCCTTGCTGTGCTGACCATATAATACATTTTAATGCAATAATGATCACAGCTTTTAGTACTGAAGATTTCAGGTCATTGGGAAATCTATAAATAAAATCTTTTTGCATTAAATACATTTTAATGCAAAAATTATCACAGCTTCTAATATTGAAGATTTCAGGTCATTGGGAATTTCTTATTTTGTTTTCTAAATCTGAAGTAATCATATTAATTTGTATTTTAATAATTTCACTGGACACTTCATATAGTTAGTCTATATTTTCTTCTTATAAGCCTCGTTGGGCAACCAATCTTTAAAATCATGTATTCTAGCCTTTAGCATGGGTTAGAATCCGCACAAATATTGTTTTGTGCGGATAAATAATACAAATTTAATAAACAAAATCGGATTTCTTATAATATTATAAGCTGACATTAATTGTGATGGGTTATTTAAAGGATTGTAGAGCACTTTTAGTCACAAAGTACCACTCCACGCCTATTGAGTTTACCAACCATACCTCTTCACAATATATTGCAATGACCTTGTAAATGTGTAAATATAAAATGTAAATAAATATGTAAATATATGTAAAACCTTGTGAATATGGTAGTTATATCAAACGATATATAAATGGTTACCAAATAGGCTATACTATACTATATATATATATATATATATATATATATATATATATATATATATATATATATATATATATATATATATATATATATATATATATATATATAGTGTTCAATAACATTGAACAATGTTCAATATATATATATATATATATATATATATATATATATATATATATATATATATATATATATATATATATATATATAGTGTTCAATAACATTGAACAATGTTCAATATATATATATATATATATTGTGTGTGTGTGCCATATTCTACTCAATTCTAATTAAGGTTGGATATTTTATGGGTGTATATATTATGGGTGAAGTAAGGCTTCAGTGGTGCCAAGAAAGTTAAGAGATATTTATACTGTTAAAACAACATCATATACGTGTGTGGTCAGAATATTGGTAAAGGAGACCAGGAACATCTTCCTTAACACAGTCCTCAGGTGATCAAATAATGTCATGTCTTAAACAGAGAACAGGTGTACCATGATGTATCACGTCATATCTTAAAATGAGAACAGGTGTACCATACTATATCACGTCATGTTCTAAACTGAGAACAGGTGTGCTAGATGTGAGACGCGTTGTAACGGGGGTGGGGGAAATAGCTCTCTGTTGTCCATTATTCCAACCTTCAGTTAACTAACGAGGCCGGGGGAAACAGCTCTCTCTAGTCCGTTATCCCGTCCTCAGTTAGCTAACTATTCTAGAGCACCTCCAGAGTTCCTAAGGCAGCCTCTCTCGTTCAACACCTTGTAACCTAGGTATTTGACTACCTAGGTGCTATGACTACAAGGCGCCGTATCTTGATCAGTTACCCGAAACCCTAGAGAGAACTCTAGAATACATTTCACTGCCACAAACGTATAAGAGAAAACGAAAGGAAAGAAATGAATAGTGAAGTAATTAGTGAGGGTTTGGGGTGAGAGGTGTAGATGTGGGAGGAGCGAGGAGGGTCATTAGTTGAAAGTGAGAGTCTGGAGAGGGGTGGAGGGAGAGGAATAGATAGGTAGAAGTAGAAGAGTAGATAGTAGAAGTAGAAGAGTAGATAGTAGAAGACGAAATGCTGCCACCATCCATTCTAGACCATTACATACAAGACAAGGAATGGAACTCGTCAATATCAAAATATTCTCAAAAGATGTTATTACCATGTATCAAGTCCAAAACATGTACTCATTAATATCATGAACCAGTAACCACAGAGGCTTTCTTACTTCAACTCAAAACTCTAGGGAACCAAGTGAAAGACCATTTAAATAATAAATTCAACAATTATATTTTTCATGATAAGTATCATAACTTAAGCAATCCAATTAAAATGTTAAAGATTAATATTCAAAGTGAGCCATCATCCAAGAATTTGAGAACCCTACAACTTGACTGCCCCTGACCATCACACAACATATGTAAACACGACCAAGTCACCTTAATGCTCAACTCACCAAGTGTCTGCCTATAGCTGGATTGAGAGGGAGGGGGGGTGGTCTGTAGTTGACAGAGACTGTCCCGCTCTGCCGGCTGACAGCCTCCCTGCTAGGGCCGTTTTCTCTGCTCTGCTGGCTGCTGTTCTTCTCTATTTGTTAATGCCCTCGAATCGATAGCTCTCCGAGTATATATTGGGGAACCTAGTAACTAATTCCGCCCACAAGTAGATAGCCTCAGGCACTCTACCAAGCCACTCCTTAAACGTCGGCATGTTTGAAGGCTACCAGGCTCCAATTATAAAATTAGCAGAAGCAAGGTGAAATTCTCATGATCTGACCTCAGGTCACTTGAAGTCATTAACGCTTAGAGGTGTGACTTTCCGGCCGACAAACTGGCGCCTTCTCAAATCCCTGTCTGTAACTCATGTATCTCTATGTATTTTAAATACAACTAAACCAAACACCTTTTACAGTGTTACAGCGTGGCGGCGAAGGATTGCGTAAACCAACAAGAGCCTACAGATGTGAATTGCGTATTAACCTAACCTCGTGCTCCACAGGTCAAGACCAGGTGTTGACGGCGGAGGAGACGCAGGTCAACGAGATCTTGACGGCGGCCAAGATGGCCGAGATGAACGCCGGCTTCGAAACTCTCGATTTCCCGCCATCCAAGAATTTTATGTCGGTCAAGGCGGAGATCGAAGCCTCGGCCGTCTTCCATATCATCAGGCAGATGCCAAAAGGTAATTAATGTCCTGGAAATGAGCCCCAGTATTGCTTCACACGTGTCTAAGGCTGCTAATAAACAAACTATCATTTAATAAATTATTCCGCATACAAAATTAATAGATTATGAATTGTGTGAGGCTATATACTCGCTTCATGTTATATATATGTGAGCTTAGCCCTATATAGCCTGATTACGATTGCTATATTGTGAATATTTAATATATTCACACGGTTAAAACTATACATTTCTAAAATGTTAATGAATGGTATATTTATATACAAATAAACAAGCATTTTAATATGGGATAACGTCACTACTATTGTTTCCTGTGACAGTAAACACTACAACTACGGAAAACACGATAACACGATAACATCCTCTATCTTGAGATGATTTCGGGGCTTAGCGTCCCGAAATCAAGGGAGTCATCATCGAAATCATTCAAGGGAGCCGGTCGGCCGAGCGGACAGCACGCTGGACTTGTGATCCTGTGGTCCTGGGTTCGATCCCATGCGCCGGCGAGAAACAATGGGCAGAGTTTCTTTCACCCTATGCCCCTGTTACCTAGCAGTAAAATAGGTACCTGGGTGTTAGTCAGCTGTCACGGGCTGCTTCCTGGGGGTGGAGGCCTGGTCGAGGACCGGGCCGCGGGGACACTAAAAAGCCCCGAAATCATCTCAAGGTAACCTCAAGATAACCCTGCGGCCCGGTCCTCGACCAGTCCTTTTTGTTACACCCCCCCCCCCCAGGTAGCAGCCCGTAGCAGCTCACTAACTCACAGGTACCTATTTACTACTAGGTGAACAGGTGAATCAGGGTGAAAGAAACTATGCTCATTTGTTTCCGCCTCCGCCGAGGATCGAACCCGGAACCTAAGGACTATGAATCCCGAGCGCTGTCCGCTCAGCCGTCAAGTCCCCTGACGGGCCTTTAAACAGAACCTGTGGCACGGAATAACAGCATGTTGCCCTCCGAATAGTAAATTCACAGTCAATGAAAAAATAGCCTAGGAGGATAGCGCAAAACGAGAGATTGACAATCATTCTGAGACGACATGATATCACAGCATAAACTCCGGCAGAACTTATGCAGTTGGAAAGAAAGAATCTGTCGTAGATCTTTGGAGCTACACCTTCGAGAGGGTGAAAGAGATTTGGAAGTGTACAGGCTGGGGTCATATCACGAGAAAACGTTAAAACTAGACCACTGAAGCTGATCTTCAATTTCGGTTCGCGACATTGGCATAATGTCCCATTTTCTGTTCATGGGTCCTTCTGGTTAGTTAGGATAGGGCAATTTAGTACGACAGTTTCTTGACGTTGGGAACACTCGTGAGAACGGACTGTATTCACAAATGAAGTAGCCCCAAGAATCTTAATTTTCAAAGGAGTCTACCTGGAAAACCTGGAAAATGACATGGGCAAGGAGGGCAAAAATAAGGATAGAACAAAGAAGGGGCAGGACAGAGAGAAGAAGTGAAGGGAGGAGAATGGGCCAATTTACAAGAAAGGGGTAAGACAGAAACCATTAAGCTAGACCGGTATCTCTAACAAGTATCCCTTGCAAGTTACTAGATAGACTGATCCGAAGCAAGTTAGTAAACAATTAGAACAGATACATTTTGTCTAAAGGCACCAATACTGTTTTAGTAAAGGAAATCCTGCTTGACAAACTTGCTGCTGTTCTGCAATAAGGTGACAGACGCAAGTTTGTCAAGCAGAACACCCATACGGAACATGTAAGAGAAGATCACTCCATGGTGGGTGTTAGGGGCGAAGATGGTACTGAGGAACATCGAAGTCACACGTGTTGTGTTGACATTCCAGGAGCGGGTCTACACCTCCACGACACGGCGCTGGCTTCGGCTAGCTGGGTGGTGCAGGAGATCACCTACTGGCCAAACCTCTACATGTGCTACGTCCCGGACGATCAACTCCTCATGAAGTGAGTAATCGACTAAATGTATTTTCCAAACTGTGCTTCCAGGGTAGAGTGCTAGCTCTTGAGTCCAGCCTTTAAAGATACATTACAGCCTTGCCTATTTATTGTCCTTCGCCTCCTTCCCTCATCACAATCGACTTGAGAATGATCCAGGACGGACCGAAACGTCGTCGTCGTCCCTTCACCTTCTAGTGTGTGGTCTGGTCAACTGAGTGATTGATGTCGATTAAGCCACCACAAGAGGCGGCACGGGCATGAATAACCCCGTAAAAAAATAACCTTGTGTTTCAGGTTCTTCGCGGAGCCGGACCAGTCGTGTGAGTGGCAGCTGGTGAGTGACGTGAGGGCCTCGTACCCCACACCTGATGACTTCGACCAGCAGCTTCTGGCGCGGCTCTCCATCCTCACCGACAATCCCGATGGTAACAGCCCAATCATATGCACGCCTCAACTAGTTGATTAATGGTTAACAAACGGGGCCCACATTAGAAAGATTGTTTGTTAGCGTCATAGTACCTGCTGTTCACCTGCAGTTAACAAATGGAGTGCAATAGGTGATGTGGTAGAGGCTCAAGACCCATTACACCAGTTGATTGACGATTGAGAGGCGGGACCAAAGAGCCGAAGCTCAACCACCGCAAGCACAGCTAGACGAGTACACACCCGCAGTGCAAGACCTGAACTTCGAGAGCAGGTACGAAGAGCAAAACTTATATACACACTGCAGAGAAAGAGATCCAATCGAGCCAGGATAGGTATAGGGACGGGGGGGGGGGGGGAAGGTCGCAATAAATGAACTGAACTAAACTTTGTGTCTGTTCGTTGCAGAAAAATATCCGGATCTTAACAGCGTGTGGTCGGCCTTTGAGAAGGTGTTTATAGCCATTACCGATATGGTTATGTACCGGCCGGCTTGGGAGGCCTATCTGTACCAGGCGCTGCAGGAGTTCGCAGACGACAACGTCTTGTACATCGAATTCAGAGGCACGCTGCCCATGGTCAGTAGCACCTCCGTCCTCGTCACTGTATGTCTCATGGTGTCAATATCAACACGAAGGTTAATATACCCACAGATAGGATACATTTTCATTGTTTATATATTCTTGTTTCGGCAGCTGTACGAGCTTGATGGGACTCAGCTGACTCCGACGGAGACAATGACGGTGTATCGCGACACCGCCAAGCGCTTCTTGGCCGACCACCCCGACCAGTACTTCGGGACTCGCTACATCTACGCACCACCACGACAGTAAGATGTGACTTCCCTGTCTTACGTGTTTTGCTTGAGGCTCTGATAATGGTAGACACACACATACACACACGTTAAACTACGAACCAGTGCACAGGGTATAAGTATTCTCTGTGGAGAATACTGCATCAGAGGCTTGTACAGTTGAAAACCCACTTTATTTTTCTTGAAATCAAAGGTTCGTTTGACTATTCCTAAAGTTTGGTGGGTTCTTGTTTTTTATTACAGCTCTCGCGTGTTGTGTAACCATTATTTTTTTACTCATGTGGGTACAGGAACAGACTATTGACTCCTGTTAGGAGGCTGAGAGTTTTACCTTCCCATAGCTCAGGGTAAGCTTTATCCACTAGTTTCCCTGGAATACGACCCACCAATCATTTAACAACCAGGGACCAGATTCACGAAGAAGTTACGCAAGTACTTACGAACGTGTACATCTTTCCTCAATTTTTGGCGGCTTTGGTTACATTTATTAAGCAGTTTACAAGCAAGAAAACTTCCTAATCAACTGTTGTTATTGTTATAAACAGCCTCCTGGTGCTTCGGAGCTCATCAACTGTTAAATAATTGTAAACAAAGCCGGCAAAGATTGAGAAAAGATGTACAGGTTCGTAAGTGCTTGCGTAACTGCTTCGTGAATCTGGGCCCAGGTACCCAGCTGGATGAACAGAAGTCTACAGTTAAGGACTGGCGCCTAGTCAATCCTCCCCGACCAGGATGACTGATGGATCCTAACTCTTAGGTTTTTTTCTTTTTCAATCTGGTGCATGACAGTTGTGGTGTGCAGTTGCCCAACGAGCAACGTCTTGCATTGTTCAATATTAAACATCATTTGCCAATCTTCTGACCACTTGTGGAGTTCGTGTAGATATTTTTGAGAGGCCTCAATATCGTTTTCGTTTCTTGCTTTACCACAGATCTTAAGTGTCCTCTGCGAATCTGGTCATGTGACTTGTAATATTCTTATCTATGTCATTGATGTACATGACGGAAAGAGTTGCCCCATGATGGAACCTTGCGGTATTCCACTATATTTTTCCAGCCCCAAGATGGAACCTTGCGGTATTCCACTATATTTTTCCAGCCCCAAGATGGAACCTTGCGGTATTCCACTATATTTTTCCAGCCCCAAGATGGAACCTTGCGGTATTCCACTATATTTTTCCAGCCCCAAGATGGAACCTTGCGGTATTCCACTATATTTTTCCAGCCCCAAGATGGAACCTTGCGGTATTCCACTATATTTTTCCAGCCCCAAGATGGAACCTTGCGGTATTCCACTATATTTTTCCAGCCCCAAGATGGAACCTTGCGGTATTCCACTATATTTTTCCAGCCCCAAGATGGAACCTTGCGGTATTCCACTATATTTTTCCAGCCCCAAGATGGAACCTTGCGGTATTCCACTATATTTTTCCAGCCCCAAGATGGAACCTTGCGGTATTCCACTATATTTTTCCAGTCAGATTCATTTTCATTTAGGGCGACCTGTTGCTTACTTCCTTTCAGCCATTATTTTATCAATTCTACTATTCTATTATTTATTCCATGTTCCTGTAATTTCCTTGCCGGTCTCTCGGGTGGTACATTATGAAACGCTTTAGTGAGGTCCATGTATACTACGCCTACCGTTAGTCCTTTGTGGTTCAAAGGTACAAACGGCTGGTAACAGTTTCCAAAACGGCAAGCCGGTTGGTAAAACGATATATATTTTACACAAAAGTCATATTGTGTTCGCTTTACTAGACTGCACTGAGATGATGAATGTTTCCCCTCCTTAGTTTACAGATATGCGAGGTTAAGTTGGTTGGTCGGTAGTACTTTTCCACCGAACTCTTTCTGCCTTTTTGAAGATGGGGGGAGGGAGGGGGGGGAGAAGATACATTTGCACATTTTCAGTCTGGGGAAACTTTTTCTTGATTTTCTGTAGAAGGTTTCAGTAGTGGACAAAATTCATTGGCCAGTACCTTTACGAATTTGGACTGAATTGCATCCACACCTGGGGCTTTAGACTCCTGTATGAATTTTTCTATTTTTTGCCTAATATGTCACTTCCATCACTTTGCTTTGGTTATTGAAAATAAATCGCGAGACGAATATAAACAGAAGATTTAGTAAGAGTTATGTTTATCACACATTGTCATTTAACAGTAAGTTGTTCCTTTCTTCCCGCGCAAGTGTCGACAACGCCACCATGGAGGGCTACATCTCCCTGGTGAAGGAGCTGAGAACGGAATTCCCTGAGTTCGTGGCAGGGTTCGACTTGGTCGGTCAAGAGGACAAGGGTCTTCCTCTCAGAGCCTTCTTGGACTTACTTCTCACACTCTCCGACGCTCACGTGCCGGTGTTTTACCACTCGGGAGAGACAGGTAGGTGGTCAGGTCAGAGGCTGTTGACCAGTGGATACACACAACGTTGGTCACTATAACAGTGAGCCGCTTAATTCTCATAAGACCCATAACTTCCATTACATATAAGGGGTATACCCGTCAGCGCCCGTGATAGCCTGACTATCCTTCCCACCCCTTTCCCTCTTGACCCCATTCCTTTCATCCCTCCCCCTGCTTTCCCATCGTCCCCCTTTTACAAGAAAATGTATTTTTAAGAAGGCCCCTCCCCCCACCTCTCCATTCCACACCTGCTTCCTTGCTCTTTCTCCTCTCCATTCCACACCTGCTTCCTCGCTCTTTCTCCTCCCCATTCTACATCTGCTTCCTTGATCTTTCTCCTCTCAGAAAATATACTGTTAATTAAGAAATTGCACCGAGTAAACTTCACACTCTACGGACATCTCATTCCCAATTTCAGATTTAATGAAAAATCACTGGGGAAGTGTTGGGTTACACGCTATATTACTTAAAAGCATTTAACTTCAGCCTACCCTGACCAACCTATGTCCGTCCCGTACCCCAGCCCATGTCCCCTACAAATTTTGGCGTGTCAAAGCCCGAGTGTTTGACCTCCAACTGCGGACAGACAGGCCAAAGTTGAAGGCCAAACGAGACACTATTCTCTTTTATTAGTATGCATTTTACAATTACTGGGCAGGATCTACCAAAAAAAAATACTTCAAAAGATAAGACATGATAATGGATTAATAATAATAAAAAAATCCAGACCCTGAAATAATACTCTAATAAATCTTTCTACATAAGAAACATTAAATCAGATGAAATAAAATGACTGCTGTAGTGTTATATTGGCAGGAAGAGTAGTATTGTGTATTGATGTTAGAAGAAGAGTAGTGTTGTATACTAACGTTACATGTAGAAGAAGAGTAGTGTTGTGCACTAAGCCATGTGGTGTCGCCAGCGTGGATCGGTATGAGCACGGACGAGAACATCATCGACGCCCTCCTGCTCAACGCCACCAGGATCGGCCACGGTTACGCAATCACCAAGCACCCCGAGGCCAGGGAACTCGCTCTGGAGAAGGACGTTCCTCTTGAAATCTGCCCTATTTCCAACCAGGTGAGGTGTGTGTGTGTGTGTCTATATATACACTGTATATATATATATATATATATATATATATATATATATATATATATATATATATATATATATATATATATATATATATATATATATATATATATATATATATGGTGTTCAGTGAGAAACCACAAGGTCTCCTCTGAATACTTTTTATTTTCTTCTCCGAGGCTATGGGTCCCCACATTGGCACCAGAGGTGGTACCAAATTTTAATATATATATATATATATATATATATATATATATATATATATATATATATATATATATATGTGTGTATATGAAAGGCTGCACAACCCGACCAGGATTCGAACCCATGACGTCTAGGATCAACCCCAAACGTTGCACCGAACTGCACCCATTGATCTCTTAGACGATCAATGGTGCGGTGGTCACAGTAATGTGTACGTTTGGGGGGTGATCCTAGAAGTCATGGGTTCGAATCCTGTTTGGGCCATTTAGAGTTTTTAGTGATTATATATATATATATTATATATATATATATATATATATATATATATATATATATATATATATATATATATATATATATATAATATATATTTATTTTACACACGTTATATACATTGGCTGCCTACCCCTGACATAATGAATTATTTATTATTAAAGTTTACAATTGGGAATTCTCACCATTGTGAGCACTGTAGCAGTGTTTAGGCATTTGCAATTTTGGCGGGTAGGCGGTTCCACGTTCTGTTGTATTTCTGGTTGTGGCATGAAATGTAATAGGAGGCCTTCTACAGGTGCTGAAGCTTGTGTCCGATCTCAGAAACCATCCGATGGCTGCGCTGGTGGCAGATGGCTTCCCTGTGGTGGTGTCCGCTGACGACCCAGGCACCTGGGGCGCTATCGGCCTCTCCTACGACTTCTACGAGGCATTCATGGGGCTAGGAGGGGCCAAGGCCGACCTCAGGTTCCTCAAACAACTGGCCATTAACTCTATCAAGTAATTATTTATATGAATTTGCTGTAATGTCAGTTTTCCTAATTAGACATTGTTAAATATGCAATTCTATTTCATATTTTGTAACAATGATTGCTTTATCAGCCGATGATTGCAGGTACATTATATTTACATTACAGTATATGAATGAATATATTGAATTATTATGTAGCAATGTTATTGTGGACTTTTTTTTTTTTTTACTGCTTGCTCAGTGATGTTTTGTCACTGTTAACACATATCATACTGTACATGTATCAAGTTGTTCCCAAGGTCAATATTTACCAATTTAATTTACGTAAAAGGGAGATAGGAGTGTGAGAGGCTGGAAGAGTGCTTAACGTGCATCCTTGCATTCAGTTACAGCAGCCTGGAAGAAGACGCAAAACAGGAACTGATGTTGATGTGGGTGAAGAAGTGGGACGAGTTCATCACCGCCAGCGCCAGACTCTACAGCCGCACCTCCAAGAAATTCTTTGCTTGCACGACTATGTATAATAATGAGGTCTAGCGACAGACTACGAAGACTAATACAAAAATTAAAACACTTATAATTCAACTACTGTATTACTATTAATAGTCTGTGCATACGAAGTGCTTTTGATAGCCACATATCAGACTGCAGCATCAGAATATTTATGTGGAAAATCGTTTTACCACCTGGTGAAGGTGAACACGCCAGCAACCTGGTGCTACCTTGGATCAGCCAAATGATCCAAGGCAGCACCAGGCCTCAAGGGTAACCATCTTCAAAATGTGTCAACCATGTTATTAAGGCGTGTCTTCCACCGAATAATTACAGGGATATATAATTTCCGGTCATTTGTCCAAAGTCCATATCACAGTGCAACCCCAGTTTTCCGGATTATTTATCACCTATGGGTATACAGAAAACTAAAAACATACTGGATAATGGAAGACATTTGTTTTATTTTTGGTACAGCATGTATTTTAACAGACACATCTGCTAAAATGCCTTCAATCGTTTTTTAATGGAAATGCACCAATATATATAGTGCACCACCACCAATTAACTCATGCAGAGACCTCCCAAATAATTGGATGAGCACCATTTACTGGACATGGGTAACTGGATAATTGCCGAAATCATAAGCAGACTAAAATCGTGGGCTGGTATGGATTGACGTAACAGGTCAATTCATAACAGGCCACATCATAGACCTACAGGGAAAATTACCAGAGCCTGAAAGTAACTAACCAAGCAGGACAAACAGACACTTGAGGATGCTTGCCAAAAGAACACTGAACACAGTCTACAACAATTCAGTTATGATGGGTGTCCATGACTTGCTGTATAAGCAAGCATATGGGTATCCTAATGAACCCTTCACACTACTAATTAGGATGCCCCCAGCTGAGGGTCTATGCAGAGGAGTCAATGACTCTTGCACTGCCCAAAGCAAGGCTCCCTACTCCAGTGATCAGGTCTATCAGGGGCGAACTCCTGAACACAGGAGAGAAACAATTCTGTCAGTGCAGGGGCAATGCTAGATGAGTACCCAGGAAAGGGTCACCAAGTACACATGTAGCTCAAAGTGTGAAAAATTGCCAGGTCCACACAAAACTGCCAAGAAATAAAAACAAGCAAATGAAGCAAATACTAAATGAATAATAAAACGAGTAATTGGCTCCCACAAGACAAAGTCCAAAAGATGGCCAGCATTTAGCCGATAAGTGGTGGGATCCACCGCAACAGTTGGCAACCCGAGAAGCACAATACTGGAGTCAACCACATCAGTGACAGGACTGCCCTTGGAGCTTACTGTGGACCAAGGCCTCTGGGGCTTCTAGTTGCAGCCATCGGCACTAATGGGTTCAAACTAATTTCAAGTGAACTAGTTGTTTGGAATGAATCATTTGCAGAGTCGCTTGGCCATTTTGATGCTTTGCTTTGATGAACCTCGCAACTGTCTGTAAAGCTTCGCTTTCTGGATGCTTTCCCAACGAGGGGTCTTCCATCTGGTTGACCAGTCCTGCAACGAAGAGGCCTGGTCAACGACCGGGCCGCGGGGACGTTAAGCCCCGAAAACACTTCAAGGTAACCTCAAGAGGTGACAATAATCGTCCCATTTCCTGCATCACTGTAAGGGGGTCCAGGTTCTGGTTCGGGTTTCTGGTAGGCCAATCAGGATTCTTGCAACTGACGTGATCCAGTAGTGGAAAGCCATTAAGGGGCTTCTCCTAGAAATTAATATCGTGGGAGTGTAGTATGAGTGGTACGTAGTACATGCCCACCTATGCACATACAGTACTTATACACACACACACACACAATACATTTGTAATGCTACATTGTGCATTTAATAAACTGTGTATTTATTCTTCAGAATAGAATATATATACTGTATTTTGAATAAAAATCACCCTCAGGCGGTTTGATTATTCACATACAAAACCTATTTTGATGTAGCCATGTAAAATACTTGTACCATGTACAGTCTGTATATCAGTAATGTATATTCAGTTTCATGAATACAATATCATATACATATTTGTACATCAACCCACACAAGTTATTTAATTATAAAAAACATAAAAGTGAAGAAACAAGTGTTTACGGAATTAATAAATAAACCCAAATACACTTTTGGGTAAGTAAAAGTCATTTCTTATTCAGGAGACTTGGGCATTAGGTAAGCCAGTTACTCATTCGCTCCTAGGACCAACCCCTCTGAATATGCAGTCTTTGCCTGTAATTAAAAGCTGAAGTCTGAACTGACAAAGACAAGTGTCTTTGACTTGTAATTTGACAAGTAATACTGAGAATAGTGATAGAGAAACTCTCTGTAGTTTCTCAGTGTTATTATTTATACTGCTATATAAACTAAAGCATCCTTCAAGTCCCCATTTAGAGAATAATGATTAGTGACATTTAGTGCAAAAACAAACCTACAAATTAATTATCAAATACTCAAAAGCCCTTCACAGCTATTATGAAGGTACACCTTTAAATTGTATGATAAACCTACAGTACTTCCTTTAGTGTAGAAATTAAGAGCTGTTGTGTTGCTATTTTGAACCATTCATTGTACTGAAGAAGACTGATGCAAATAAAGTAAGTACATACTGGGTTAATGCATTTTTGACTGTTTAGTCACTGATGTTTAGATCGCTAAGCAAAATACAGAACACTGTCATTGTTACAAAATGGTTGTAAATACCCGACTACAAAAATATGAAGGTTGGGGTAAAAAAAAAAAAAATTCATTAACTATTTCACTGAAGGCTTTCCCAATATAATGTCACTTAAGGGGTATAAAAAAATATATTACGTCATCTGTATGTATTTAACAACTTGAAAACAAAAAATTATAATATGTTTATAATTAAGATAAAAACATATATATGGATATACAACAACTTCCTACAATATACACCATTTATTTGCATGATTGGCTTAGGGCATTTGGCACAATAATACAACTAACACATTGAATGACACATATACAGTAGTTTTCAAATTTACCACTAAACTCAACCTAAGCTTTATAAACAGTTGAGAGACATACAATCACATACATTACAAATATACTCTATGGCTTCTAATAAAAAATGTACTTCTAATATTAGTACAAAGATTCTACAACAAGATTCATATACACACACACACGCACATACAACATGCAAGCACAAACAGATATTCATTCACTTGTATTAACACGCGGTATGTAATGCTCTTGAAACTCTCCGCACCCAGTGCAGTTCACAACCTTAATTGACAATATTTGCACCACGTTAAATAAATTTACATCTTCATAAGTCTTAAACAACTTTAAACTGTTAACAATTGAAGGCTGTTTGAGCAAATATGTGATAATGTAATATTAAATTGACATTTCCATTGATCCCAATTATTTAGCATTTCCCCCTCTAAAAAGAAACAGCTAACTTAAGGAAATTTCCAAACTTCATCCTTCTTGAACTGCTCTTAATTTTTTTTAAAGCAGTGCAAAAATATAACTAATTTTAGTGATACAAATAAGGGCCTTCCATTTGAATAATAAATTTTCCATTTAGATATACTGTACAGTACTGTATGAGCTCGCTTATCTGGATTCCGTTAAACTGGATATTTGGGTTATCCGACCAAAATAGCATCTGGGTAATTTTCTGGCAAAACTTTGCAGTATCCGGATAGTGATCCAGATAACCGGAGGTTTAGCCGGATACCGCAGACAGGCATAGTTTAAATCAAGTCCGGATAATTTTCTGGCAAAACTTCTCCATATCCGGACAGAAATCTGGATAACCAGAGATTAACTAAATTTTCAAGAATTACACATTTCAAGATCTACATTATCAAACAAGAAGACAAACTGCAACAAGGTAAGTTTTCATTTCTTTTTTTAAATTATATTTTTGATTTATAGTGTGCGTTGAAGTTTAAATTACGTTGGTTGGGGTACAGAAAAATTGTGAATATGGTCATTTTTGGACTTCCCCTGTAAGAATTCTGCTTATCTGGATGTCTGGCTTATCCGGAGGGGGCTGCTTTCCATATAGTCTGGATAATCGAGCTCATACAGTATTTGCATCTAATATATACACAGGGCAAGATATTTGAGCGTTGTTTAAAAACAACTCTGTTCCCAAAATATTTTTGGCTTTATATATTTAATCCAAAATCTAAATATTTGATATATATAATGTGCTACATTAAACTAACATTCAATTACCGTGCAACTTGCATTTTTCAGTTGTATGGTACATTCTTTCTTATCAGTGAAAACATTTTATGACAGATCAGATACTGAATAGAAAGATCAAAATTGCTGAGCATGCTTCATCACAAGCTGTATAAATCATAGAACAACCAACATAAAAGTTTTATCTTATACTATATATGTATATGTAAGTTATGTGTATGTGTGTATGTGTAATTACCTAAGTGTAGTTACAGGACGAGAGCTACGCTTGTGATATCCCTTCTTCCCCAGGACTCTTTGCCATACAGTATAACGCTCTGAAACTACTGACTGTTTTCATCTCCACAACTTCCTCAGTTAACTTGTTCCAATCGTCTACCACTCTAATTGCAAAAACTTTCTAACTTTTTTCGGCAAACTTTCTAATATTTTTTTCGGCACCTTTGTTTTCTTAGCTTGAATGTATGACCTCTTGTTCTTGAGGTTACCGGTTTCAGGAATTTATCTGTGTCACTTTGGTCATTTCCTGATATTATTTTGTAAGTGGTGAACATATCGCCTCTTTTTTTTATGAGTGCACGTGCGCGCGTGTGCGTGTGTGTGTGAATAAGACAGTACTATCTCCATTACCAAGATTTTCCACTCTACAGTGTATATTAGGTTATATTTGTATACAGGCTGTATACTGTGGTGTACATATTGAGCTTTCGTATATAAATCAGACTTATTGTGTAAATATACGACTTACAGAGCATGTATTACTTTACACTGTATTAGGCATACAGTGTATCTTACTTAAGATTGGCTTGGGCAAAGAGCAATTCAGGTGGTTACACGTTCACCACAGTACAGTAAACGACAAGAAGGGAAGAGGAAGACCATGAATGAGATGACCCAAGCCAAGAACCAAACCATTAGCGTCGGTGCAGAATGTCGCCAGCAACAAAACAGACCCCACATAGTAAAGATAAATCACAAATAACAGAGGAAGAGTAAACTGCACAGAAAGTTTTATTGATAAATTACCAGTTTGAAGTTATTCATTAAATAAAAATAACAGCTTTAATCTTAAGAGTAAATTGAGAATAAATGAACATACATGAAAGACCTTTCTCTTTTTGTTTTCAGACAAGTGGATTCAAACAAATTAGTTAAGAAATCAGTTAGTATGGTTTAGGAAGCAATGGCCAAACCGAGTTGCTTACTGTAAGCCAACAGGTCGAATTGTTACTTATGCCTCCAGCATGGTCTAGAGGTACAAACCTCAGTAGCCTTTGGTATGGATACCCTTAAGGGTTAAGGGTATCCCATACTCTTAACCCTTAAGGGTTAAGGGTATGGGACACCCTTAACCCCTTGAAGAACACAAGTGATCTAAATCATAACTATGGCAATTTTAACTAGAATATTGTGAAAAGTAAGCAATAGTTGAACCTAAAGTGATTAAATAGAAAACTGGCATAGCCTCATATATTCATGCCTAACATTACAGTGCTAAACAATAGGCCAAAAACTTATCAACCAACAATTTGGTCCAGAAGAATGTCCTGTTCTAGATCAATCACTACCTGTTAGGTAGTGCTTGATCTAGAAAGAGCAGTGTTGCTAAACTCACAACACGTGTACTTCTCTTTAACCATTATAGAATCTATTTAAAACAACCGAGACAACACCTGACTTCATACCCTACACTGGACTCAAATTCATTCTCCCTCTGGTCCCCAAAAAAGTATACTAGTTGGTTAAAAAACCAGTTCCAGTCATACTCATGAAAATGTAACTTCTTGTTTCATACTTATGCTGTCCCCATTTTTTGGGGTGAATAGTTAACCGATGTTAGATGTGATGAAGTGTGATGAGGAGTGATGAAGTGATTAAGCCACCCAAGAGGTGGCACGGGTATGAATAGCCCGGAAAATAGTTAAATATCTCAACAAAATAGTTTTCATGAAATTCTCAGCTTTTATAGAAATGTCATTTATAAACAACACACTCATGAAGCAGCATTAATATATACTGCTTGATTACTCTAATGTGACCTCCAAAAATACAGCAAAATCTTAAATGGACTTCAAAATTATGTTGCTTTTTAAGCTTATCATTAGTTTATACACCAAGTGTAAATGTCTTGGTTTCTTTATTAGTAAAATAAATGCACTCATAACATACTTGCCAATTGGTTGAAAATATATAATTTACGTATTCAACTGATAACCGAGCCAAGTCTTTCACACCATTCAGTCCATAAACCCACATAAGCACACACACAGGAATATTGGTCAGTCTCTCTTTGTAAGTGGACCAGTGATTGCCAAGTACAGTATGTACTTGTGTTCACATATATATACCATTATTGTGACAATAAGTCACAGTCAATGTTAATAAATCACTTCATATTTACCTTTAGCACAACTGTTATTACATATGTATTGCCATGATAGTGAAGATGTAATAGATCAATTTCTACTACTGTAGTTTCTTAACAAACAATGAAGGTACTTGTAATAACATTTACAATATTTATCTGAAAACTGCATTTCTTATTGTGTTTCAAATTACTGCACAGTAACACCCCAGTGTTACCAATATATATAGACGCTCCATGATTAAGCATCCAATTAAAAATCAAGCAGTTATTGTAATTGAACAACTTTTCTGGTAGGCCATCAGTAGATCCACAGTGCTTGTACACCGATATCACTAAACCTCGGATCCCCGAGACCT